CCTATCTTCAATCTATTTCCTATTCAAAGTCTTTGAAATCAATGATCATAGCCTTCATAATGCAACACTTTGATCCTATCTCTCAAAAACTCTAATTAACTCATCACAGAATATTAAATAAAATATTCTAATCTTGATTCAAGGTCTTCCACAATCTGACTCCAACCTTTCTTTTCAGCCTTATGTCAAACCACTCCTTTCACATACTCTATGTTCCAGACAAAATGGACTACTTGGTCTTTCCCCCATTCTCAATCTAGACTCTACTCTGTCTGCTTCTTTGCTCATACCATTGTTACCAGGATCAGAGGAGTTGTTGAAGTTGTTGAAGCAGGAACACAGTGGTGACTTATAAACAGTTCTAAGAAGGCACAGACCTGATCCATTTCTGAGATTGCATGCAGGCAACATATAAAAGCTAAGAGAACCAAGGCCTCTGCACTGGTGTAACTGAATTTGCCCTTATACTGTGGCTACAGAGCTAATTTTGCTGAAAAAAGGGAAGCAAAGTCAGGTTTGATTGCTGTGTGACAGAACAGAAGAGTTCTCATTACCCTTCCCTACACGGTATGGGATGGCTTTCCCTACACAACTGTGTCTCCCTGGGTTGCTCCTACCTTTGGGAAAAGTTTCATGTATGGGAAGCACTTGTGTTCTTAGGTATGAAGGCCACCAAGGGGCTGAGCAGTGATGACAATATAACAAGGTGGGTGACAACTGCATCTGTGAAAACACCCTCTGGCCTTCCTTGGCTTTTTTTTTTTTCAAGCACATCAAGTGTTAGAGACTGAGGGATCCTAACATCTACCTCCCATTTCCAGATGTTTCAGCTGCTCTAGTCCAGTCCTCTCACTGATGGATGCTGCCTTCTCCATGAACACTTCCTTTTCTGCTCCAAATAATTTTTCTCTTATCGCATTTCTCACAGCACTTTGCTCGGACCTCTCCTGTACACTTAACATACCTTCCCTTGTATCATTTACTTATGTATGTGTCTTTACATGTTCCTTATTACACTGTAAATGTCATCAATTATAGTTCTTTACATATAATACGCACTATGTTTGTTCAATAACAGAATGAAGAACCACCTGGAATGGCTGAAACACTAGTTCAGAGAAGAGATAAACGTAAAAAGTTGTGGAATGGAAATTCAACATACATTTGTCAAATCCGTTTCTTTAAGATTCTTTTTTTCTTGTTTTTTTAAAATTCAATTTAATTTTATATTATTTTCGGTTCCAAATTCTCTCCCTCCACCCATTGAGAAGGCAAGAAATAGAAAATCCATTGCAAACAGGAAGTCATGAAAAACAAATTTCCATGGGGGTTTAGGGGTGGGGTGGGGAAGAACAAGAAAAAGAGGAAAAAAAATGCTTCATTCTGTACTCTGAGTCCGTAAGTTTTCTATCTGGAGATGGATAGCATGTTTTATTATGAGTCCTTTGGAATTGTGGTGGGTCATTGTGCTGATCAGTTACTAAGTCTCCCACAGTTGATTTATCTTTACAATTTTGCTCTTACTGTGTAAACTGTTCTGGTTCTGTTTACTTCGCTATACACCAGTTTATATAAGTCTTCCTAGGTTTTTCTGAAACCATCTCCTTCATCATTTACTTTAAGATTCTGACAATTTAGTGCCAACCTGGGAGCAAACAGAGTAGTTAAAATAGAATGATTTGTTCACAAAGTTCAATTTATTTGGGTATGATTCTTCTTCTGAAATTCTATGATTTTATAATTTTGTATACTAAGCATTATCTAATCCTAATTTTAAACCTGTGTCCTGATTCTGGATATTATTACTACAGGCACAATCATTTTTCATGCAAACTGGGCAGTTATAGCTCCACTCATGTAAAACAAATCATAAACTTCATCATAAGCTACCTCCAAAAATATTAGAACCCTGCCATGAATCATTTAGAACTACAGTGTCATCTTTACATAAGTTTGCAAATGTTAGGGTCTGAATCCAAGATTTCAGAATTATCCCTAAACACAGGTGTATAAAATAAAACTTGTACATACACAAAACATCTTGGAGACAAATTTAAATTCTGAATCTTCACAAAAAATCTTTCAGAGGGCATCTTTTTAAGCCCACAGCACAGAGCTCTAGTCTACCAATTGCATAAACACCTTTATCATGACTAGGATGTCTTTAGCATTTAAAAGCTACCAAGGTGGAAGCTCCATTTAACCTATATAAAACCAAATATGGCGCTAGATATAAAGCTATCTATATACCTGCTACTTTAAAGGAAAGGAACTTACATTGTTTTAGTATGCTAGCTCATTTAATATACACTTTTCTAATATGATTGACTTAAAGGGCAAGTCATCATGCTTCATACTACTAAAAAAAGTAAAATTTGACTAAGACTAACAAAATAAAGACTAAGAAAATAAAATCTCAAACATTATCAACAAATATTTGGTAAGCATCTACTAAAAGCTCTGAATTTAAGTCAAAAGGTACACCACTGCACCTAATTAAAAATAGATAAAAAGCACATATATAGGACCAAAACAAAATTATCGCACCTCCTCACAAAGATAACCTTGGATCCAGTTAAGGTATCTTGTCTTATAAGTTTCTCTTTACTTGTCTTCTTTACCAACATTGATTTTTAAATCTCGGATACCTAGTATGTACCATTAATAAGAGTAGAAATGTTTTTAAAGGGAAGCCAACAAAAACCATTTCTTTACTCTTGTAAAGTGACTCCTCTTCATTCCACGCATACCCAAAAAATAGAATACGTTCCTTAAAGATAGAATGGAGCATTATCAGGGAAGATAATGTGTTTCTTTTTTTTTTCTTTTTGGTGAGGCAATCGGGGTTAAGTGACTTGCCCAGCGTCACACAGATAGTAAGTGCCAAATGTCTGAGATCGGATTTGAACTCGGATTCTCCTGACTCCAAGGCTGGAGCACTATCCATTGCAAATCTAGCTGCCCCTAAATGTGTGTATTTCTTAAAGGAAACAATTTTTAATGATGCCAATGGCATTTAACGTTCTTCTCACCTGCCCATTTCTGCATGGAATGAAACAGTACCAATTTCTTATAAAACACGAGTGAAAAATTTCCCAACAAAGCATCTAATTCAATACCTGCCTTTAAAATGATTCTATTAAAAAAAAACAAACAAACTCTCTCCTTAGGGAGGGATCCATAAGTAACAAGTATGAAGAAATCAGAAACAATCCAAATCAGAGGATCTTATAGCTACAGAAGGGTTCTTAAGAGTCACATAGTCCAACCCCATCATTTTGCAGATGAGGAAATCCAGTCCCAGAGGAAAGTGACTTGCCTAGGGTCACAGGGATAAATCAGTAACAAAGGCATAATTTGAACCTCTGACTACAAAAACCAGCACTAATTCCACAGTATCAAGAACTTTTATAAATCAAGAGCACTTTTATAAATCGCTAATTACTTTGCCAGTACTGAAACTCCTCATTCAGTCACACTCGTACATTACTCTGGGTCTCCAACTCTTTCAAAGGTCCCACGGGAAAAAACAAGGCAATTCAAACCTCCCTCCTACCAGAAGAAACAAGGAATCCTTCAAGAAGTCGAAGACTCCCCCTCCTCACCCCATGTCCCCCCCAACCTAAATAAACTTGGAGTCAGAACTATCCTGATGTCTGCAAGCAGACACCCATGCCTCCCCCAAGATGGACAAGGTGACACAAGGCGTCCCCCCATCACCGCCCATTCCCCTTTTGGGAGAATGCAGGAAGGATCGTGCCCACTCCCCAAAATGGTTGTGAAGAGACACCCCTCCTTTCCCTGTGCACGCCCCTCCCCCAAACCCCCATGTCCAAAGAGGGCCCGGACAGGAGTGGGGAGCCCGTCACTTCCATAAACCGAGAAACTGTCACCCTCACAATACAAGTGGAGAAGGGGGGGGTGGAGAAAGAGGAGGTTCGCCTCACCCTCACCCCCAAAGCTGCAGGGAGGGCAGCGGGGAGGGAGAGGCCCTCCGAGGGCCAAGGGACCAAGAGGAGGAAGAGGAGGACGAGGGAGGGGAGGAAGCCAGAACTGTTACTTACAATCATCTAAGTCATCCTGCAAGTCCACAAAATACAAGGGGATCTCTGAAAACCAAGAGAGATAAGAGATCACCAGCGGCGCGGGGAGCACCGGGAGCGGGGCCAGGGAAGGGCAGGAGGGGGACCCCGGGGACGGCTGGATCCGGGACGGCCGGGGCTACGGCTGGAGCCTCGCCCGCCCGAACCGAGCGGGAGGCTGGAGGAGGAGGGTGGAAGAGGACGAGGACGAGGAGGGGGAGAAGGAGGAAGAGGAGGAAGAGGAGGAAGAGGAGGAGGAGGAGGAGGAGGAGGAGGAGGAGGAAGAGAACGAGGAGAAGGAGGAGAAGGGAGAGGAGGAGGAGGAAGAAGCAGCCACAGCTGCTGCCAAAGAAGTCTTAGCTCCACTCACCCGCCATCTTGAAATGGGCCTGAAGGAAGCGGGGCCGGGGGCGGGGGGAGAGGGAGGGAGACCCACTGGGCGAGCCGGGCGGAGGGGAGGAGCGACCAACTCCTCCCGACCCATCCCCTCGCCCCGCCTCCGCACGCCGGCCACCGGGCTGGGGCTGAGGGGGAGGAGTGACGAGAAGGCCTCGGTGGGGCTCCTCCCCGCCCGGAGCTCGCGGAAATTAGGGAAAAGCGGCGTCCCGCACCCGCCTCCTCCCCCCTCCCTGCAGGCGAAGGTGGCTCCCGAGGTGGGAGGGCAGGTCAGGTGACCCGCCGGGCTCCCCAAGATGGCGGCGGCGGCTCCTCGGTGGCGACGCGGCCGGCACGGCTGCGGCTCTAGCTGCTGAGGCGGGCGGCTGGCTCCCCGGCGGGAGGAGAGGCCATCTCACGCGGGACAGCGGCGGCGGCACCAGCCTGAAGAGGCCCCAGCGGGGCGGCGGCGGGGAGGGCGTTCAGGGCCTCCCGACGCCGCCTCTCCCCCACTGCCGGGGGCTGGAGCCTGGTTGGCCGGGGGATGTTCGTGCTGGGCCGGGGCACTCCCTCTCCTCCTTAGGGCGGTGGCAGCGGCGGCGGCGGCAGGCCAGGCTCCCCGGACATGGCGCTGAGAGAGCTGAAAGTTTGTCTGCTGGGGGTGAGTGGTCCCTTGCTCCGCCGTGAGGGCTGTGGGATGGGCGGGAGGCAGGCCTGCTTGTCCCTCCCCTCCGGCCCGGCCCGGCCTCCGCTCCTTTGGGCCTCTTGTACCTCACGGCGCGCCCAGGGAGGACCGAGCCCCCCGCAGCCCCCGAGCCGCTGCCCGCTTTGGAGAGTCAGCTGCCTCCTGGGCACCTGGTAGCCTCCCCTTCCCCCCACTCCATTTTCTCTGAACCACCCACTGTCACTCACCTGCCCCTTTGACTGCCAGCCCTTTACATGCAATCTCGGCCCTTACCCCATTCCCTTACTCTTTCCCTCCCACTTGGATTTTCTTTTCTTTCTTTCTTTCTTTTTTTTTTTAAACTTTTAACAAGCATTTATTAAGTGCCTTGAATGTGACAGGTACTGTGGTAAGTGCTTTACAAATACTATCTCAGCTAGCCGTGGTAAGAAATGAAACCCTATCACTATCTTCCGTTTTTCTGAATTCTTATTAAGAAAGTGAAAACCCTGCCTTCCCACCTGTTCTAGTCACCTTGAGAAGGAGTCTCATCACGCCTTTTCATGACTTCTCCCCATCTTATTTACGTATATATACTACCTACCTCTTTGGTTGTTCTGGAAAATTTTTTTTTAATTAACTTCCCCAAACAACTTACTCTAAACCAGGATTAGTGCATTTAATCTTAACAAAATGCAAGTGATAGAAAGTTACCTGTTTACAAATTGTTCAACTTTTTTGGCCTTTTTTTTAAATAAATTTATGGCTGTGGAATGCATTTCTGAAATTACACATTTAATGTGCAAAAAAAAAAAATGTGAAGATGCAGAATTTAAAATGTGATTGCTATCTTATCAGGAAACCCAAAATTGATGCTTACACTTCAGCTTCCTGACTCTTTTGGTCACATTTGCAGTTTGAAGCATACCATCCACAGCCTGAAAGGAGGTATTTGGGCTCTTTTGAGTTGTCCCTAAAAGATTTTGCACATGTTGTATATCTAATCTTTTACTAAATAGGGTAAGGTTGGGAATAGTCAAAACTTACCCAAAATTGCTTCTGGAGCTCTTGATTTGCTTATCTTATTTTTCACTCATAAAAAATTTCGGTTTTTGAACAAATAATTATTTCTTTAGAATCTTGTCATTTATAGACTACAACGGGTAGGGAACCTTTGGCCTCGAGGTAGGACCTCAGTTGCGGCCCTGACTCAGTCAGAGGGCTGAACTTGAGGCCCTAGACTTCGAGGCTGAAGGGTCCCCACCTGGACTACACAAAAACCTCTCTTTTTAAATAGCTTGAAATTTCCTACTTGTTTCACTGAGTTTTTATGGATGTTTCCTTGGTATATACTCTTGTGAAGTTTTTTTTTATTAGAAATTTTAGAATTTCACCAAAACAATGGTTATTAATGTAATAAATAAATATTCACTCACAAAATCCTTATTTTTCAGGATACAGGTGTAGGTAAATCAAGTATTGTATGGCGGTTTGTAGAAGACAGTTTTGATCCAAACATCAATCCAACAATAGGGTAAGAAATGAGTTATTTAATATCAATTTTAGAAGTGTTTTCAAAATGTTTTCAAATGAAAGTGTTATAAAAATTCAGGTAGTTTGAGATCTTTACTGAAACTCCCCTATAAATAAGAAATAAGTTTATTAAGCACCTGCTATTATGTACCAGGGCATTGGGCATATAAAGAGAAAAATGAAATGGTCCTTGCCCTAAAGAACTTAACGTTCTATTGGGGGACATAACTTGCATATACAAAATAAATATAAAGTGAATGGTGGGGGAGTGGGGCTAGGAGAAAGAAAATCAAGAAAGCCTTCTTGTAAAGTTGGCATTTGAGTGAAGTTGAAGGAAACAAGTAAAAAAGTAAAAAAAGGAGTACATTCCATACATGAAGGACGACCGGTACAAATTTTGGAGACAGAAGATGGAATGTCACATGTGAGGAACCACACGATGATCAGTTTAGCTAGTCTATAGAGGGCAAAGGTCAGAAGATAGGAAAGGAAGTAATATATAATTCTGGAAAGGGCGGTTGGGGTCAGGTTATCAATATCTGCAAATGCCAGATAAGAGTTCAGATTTGATACTGGTTGTAGTAAAGAGCCAATGGAGGTTGAGTAGGGGAGTGACATGGTCAGACTTGCCTTTTAGAAAAATCTCATTGACAGCTCTGTGGAGGATAGATTAGAGAGAGGTGAGAGGCTTGAAATAGAAAGTCCAATTAAAGGTTTGCAATATTCCAGACTAGGTGATAAGAACCTGAACTAGAGTGGTGGTAACCCAGAGCAGAGAGGAGACAAATTTGAGAAAGATTATGTTAGTAGAAATGACACAATTAGGCAGCTGGTTAAATGTGTGGCGGGAGGGAAAATGAGTAGTTGAGGGTGATTCTAAGGTTTTGGACATGAGAAGGATGGTGATGACCCTGAAAATAATAGGGACATTTGGAAGAGTTGTGGGCTTTTGCAGAAATATAATGAGATTACTTTGGCACATATTTGGATTTTCCCATGGTGGAAGTGTCCAACAGACAATTGGAGGTACCTGTTTTGAGCTCAGGAGGAAGGTACTGCCTGCATATATAGATCTGGGAGTCGCCTTCATAGAGTTGATAATGAAATCTGTGAGCCCTGATGAAGTTACCAAGTAAGAGCTCACAGAGAGAGAAGAGGGTCCAGAGAGCTTTAGGATGTACAGTCAGAAAATTGTCATGGTAATTAATGTCCTTTTGATTTTATAAAAATATCTTTTTACATGAAAGTTTCATGTAAAGTAAACATGCTTATCAATAAATGGAAGAGTAGAAAGAATGCTGGATTTGGAGGTAGAGGCTTTGGGTTTCAATCTAGGCTTTCCTACTCCTTAGGTATTTGACTTTGGACAAGTCATTTAACTTTTCTGAGGTCCAGTTTCCCCATCTATAAAATAAAGGAGTTGGATAGGGTGACTTCTAGGTTCCCTTCTTGTCCCACATATATGACCACAATGTATGTATGTGCACATAAATGAAATAAAATTTTTGATTACTACTAACCTTTGAGGATAGTTTATCTTTACAATGAGGCAAATGGAAATGGAGTGATTTCTTCATAAGCATAGCCCTTTCTGGCAAGTTTGCTCTTAAAAGTAACTAGAAGGTTTCTATTGCTTTTGAAAAATACAACTTCACTCTCCAAATTCTCCTATAATTCACACACTATAAGTAATAACTAATGCTGTTTGCTGGCTCATAGGGAGATCTTTGAAAAGTTTTATTTTCTAAAAATTGCTAATAAATTTCCTAGCATGAAAGTAACAGTAGCCACAGGGAGCCTTCTTTTGTAACCTCAGCTCCACTTGAGCTGTGGAACAGGCAGAAAAACTTTAGCACCAAGAAAAAAATTGTTCCTAAGTGCTGTAGATAGGATGCTGAGGAAGTAGGTCAATCAGTGTACATTTATGAAGTATCTGCTTTGTGCCAGGCACTGCACTAAGTGCTGGGGACACAAAGAAAAGCAAAAAAATATACCTGCTCTTGAGGAGCTCCAAGTCTGATGGGAAAAGATAACATTATAAAGAAGCTGAAAAGTGAGAGCCGTGAAGTCCTCCAACCAGGTAGGAGCTGATGAGTTGCCTGCCCTGGAGTCCCTCCTTAAGTAGTGCATATGGGAAGAGCTCCCTGCTGTCTACCCAGTCAGAGGCAGAGGGAGGGAAAGAGAGGCCCAGAGTCTTACTCCTTGGTGGAGGCAGGACCTCCTCTCTATGTCAGACATGGAGATTTTGCATGTCTTGTCCCTTGGTCTCTTCTGACCACCTCAGCTACTACCACTGAGGGGGGAAGCAGGGGTGCGTGTGTGTGTTTGTATGCATGCATATGCTGGAGTTTGAGCGTGCAGTAGGAAGGAGCTGACCAAATGACTGTCAGTACTAAGGTTAGTGGGGAAAGGATGAAGGGCATGAAGAGGAGCTTTAGACAAGAATGTAGGGATGGTATAGTGATGGAAAGAGAGCTGGATTTATAGTTTAAAAAAAAAGTCTGGGTAAAAATTGTGGCTTTCCATTTACGGCTTTTTTGACTTTAGACAAATCACTTGTCCTCTCTGAGCCTGAGTTTCCTCATCTGTAAAATAGGGTGGGGGGAGGGGGGTTAGGCTGGATTCCTTAAAGTCCTTTCCAGCTCAAAATCTATGATCCTGTGAACTATTTACAACATTAAATATCTGCTATGGGAGAGAGGTTCTGTTACTTTGTTTCCATTACTGTAGATTCCTTGTAAAGCAATAGAGCTATTGTCATCAAACCCCCAAATTAAGATGTTTACTACATTTCTTTGTAGTTTTTTTTCCTGTGTTAAAATAAAATAAATTTTTTTGCTCTTTTTCTGTTAACCAAAAGATGATCTGGATAGAGAATAATAATTTCATCATATATTGTAACCTCCACTAAATATCTACCCTGATTATGGCCTCTAGGTGACCCTGGGTTTTGGTTTCTTTGTTGTTGTTATTTTGGTTTTGGGAGGGAGGGTACCTTTGCATAGTAATTTTTGCATTTATTTTTTTCCCCTTTCCACCCCTACCTCATTGGAAAAAATAAAAACAAAACCCTTGTAATGTATGCTTACTCATGCAAAACAAATTCTCCCTCTGATCATTTTCAGAATTATGTCTAATTCTACACCCTAAATCTATTGCAGCTTTGTAGGGTGTGTAGTATACATCTTTATTTGTACCCTAGAGTCATGATCCATCATTGAGTTCTTACCTCTTTCAAAATTGTTTGTCTTTACATTGTTATTTTTGTTGTAAAAATTGTTCTGTAGGTTGTGCTCATTTCACTCTAAATCACTTCTCAAAAGAACAAGTCTTAGAAGGGATTGTTTCAGAAAAAAACTATTACTTTTATAGTACAATGTTATAGCATTCATATAGCCTAACTTCTTTAGCCGTTCTCCAGTTGGTCATTCCCTTACTTCTTTAACACTGCAAAAAAGAATTGCTACAAATATTTTTGTACATATAGGTAACTCTAGGTTCTGAAAGATTATGCCCGTGGATTGTTAAGCTCTGGCAGTCCAAAACTAGAAGTGCTTTGAGTACAAGTTCTATGACAGATTGCTATCTGAGGAACAGCCTAAGTTCAGAAAGACTTCTCTCCCAGTTGGTGATAAGGTGGTGAATTTTTTAGCCATACAACCTTTAAAGACCACTTAAGTCAATATTTCTTTACCTTTTTTATGTCATGGACCTCTTTGGCAATCTGGTGATGTCTATGCTCAACTCACAATATTTTTAAATGCATAAAATAGAGCATATAGGACTACAGAAGAAACTAATTATATTGACATGCAGTTATCACAATATTTTTCAAAACAGGTTTGTAGACCCCAGGTTAAGAACCCCTTTCCCCCAACTGAGTGGTAGAGGGGCAATGAAGTACTTAGACTAATTAGATTACATATCCTTGAAATATTGATGTATTTGATGTGAGAAATTTTAATTTCTAGTTCTTTTTATAGCTCTTTTTATTTAAAATATGTTGCTTCATATTCAGAGTCATAGAATTGAGCCCATTAGCCTTTGCTATAGTGATACCTTTGCACAGTCCTTAAGGAAAAAACCATGTATGTGCATGTCTTTTTAAATGTATGATCCCATCAGTCTTCCAGTAATAAAGGATGGCGGGTTACTACCTGCAGAGGAATCTTACAAATGATTGAAAACTGAAGTAAGTAGTATTTATGATTCAGTAGTGACATACTTTACACTGAGTCATTTCTGAAGTGACTCAACCCACATAACACCCAAACACATTACACAGGTTACAAGTACTATCTTTTAGATGATATGTTAACCTACTTAGAAGGAAATTTGTTTCCTTAAATCAAAAAGGAAAAATTTTTAAGTAATATGATGAAGATTTCCTCTATTGAAGTCCTCTTCTGATGCCTATTGTGGTATGGTTGTCACCCAGGTTCTTGAAGGCTGTTTCAGTAGAACACAATTCCTGGTGGTTCTATCAAGTAGAAACTTGGTGATCAGGGTCTAACATCTGAGAACCAACAAAACTTTTTTGAAAAGATTCATCACCAAGATTTTGGCCAGCAGGTGATGAATTTTCCACTGTGGCAATTTCAGAAACCTGCCCACTAAAGTATAGAAAGGTTGCAATTTTCCTTGACTTAAGTACTCACTCTATTGAAATAGATCCTTGAAGTTAATGTCATCAATTGGATGTATCTGTGCCATTTGCCATTCCCCAAACCCCTACATTCTAGAGATTTATTCTAAAATATGATTTTATGTAGCCATAACTATAGCAAGTTATAAACAAAAATTCAGAAAAATGTGTGATGAAATAAATATATTATGAAAAAATTTTACTGTTATTTATAACTTAGGCTATGTACTTTGTAAGAGGTAGCATTACAGCATACCATGAAAAATATGTAGGAGGTAGTCCAAGTTCAGGAAATGGTATAAATGGAAATTGAAGCTGAGAGATAATATTGAGATCTACCTGGAACAGAGTAGGGA